GAAGAAGACGTAGTATGTAGAACTTTTTAATGTGGTCTTTTACCAGAGTCAAAAAACTCCTAGATAATAGTTTTGAAAGAAATAAAAATGGTTCCAACAGTCTTTGCAACACCTTATTTTCTTCTACAGAACCATTTTTATGGAGTTCTGGACTCAGGTAAAAGACAGAGCCTCGAAAAATTCTGCAGGTCTCCTTTTTTTACAGATTATGACAATACACGCTTAAAAGTAATTTAATAAACGCTTCTTCTGAAAGTGTAGAATAATCTACACCTAGCCGTGGAATAAGAAACGGTTTCCTCAAAACTCTATAACAATCTACCGCTGATTATTGAATAATAAACTTTTTTGAAAAATACATAGATTAATCTACTCTTATTCGTTTAATAACAAACTCTTCAAATCGAAATGTGAAATATAAAACCCTTAAAAAAGCTTTATATACTCTTTGAGTATTGAAATACCCTTACGATCAAAACTCTTCGGCTCATGAACCTTTTCAGGATATATGCCATCCGCATAAATCCTTCAAGAGTTTATGAAAAAGAAAATCAAGGGCAAGTGTTGATTATTCTACGCTTTTTTTTACAGTGTTTCAGTCAGTCATAAAAAAGAAAAGGATTTCTAAATTTGCAACGGATATATACTCATTATTTCCTTTATGATGAAAAGAATAAACATCTTTTCCATTTGTAACTTTAAAAAAGGATTTATGTTCTGATGCAAACTCATAAGCCTATATATTTTTTACGGTATTTTGGTATTTATTTACTGTATGATGGTTTGCATTAGAATCATTGTTAGCGTTTCCTTCAGCATCATCGTTTCCTTATGGAAACAAATAAGATGACGTCAAAACAAATGTAAATGATAAACAAAGGCATATGCTCCTCGCGAAGAAAAAGAGAAAGAATGATGGCAAGAGACGTATGTAAGATGTTGTGGAATAATTCAAAGAGACATTTGCGTGAATACTATGGTGCTTTTATTTCACATCAACTATTATCAATATGTAATTTATGTGTATAATAGAAAAATAAAAATTATTGTGACACACTAGTTATTTTGAAATAGAGCTTGTTTTTGCAAACTGGAAAAAGATTCACATAACATAACATCTATATTACTTAAAGGTGTCTTCTTTTAAACATGCTTACCGACTTATTTTTTATCCTAAACTTTTCCTTCTCCATTATAACTTCGGTTTTCGGCTTGCCTCTTGCTTTAACGATGATAGTGATCATCATCAGTCATCGTACATGTCGTACTGTCACCAATCTTCTTTTGGGCAATGCGTGCGTTATCACTTCGATCTATTTCATTTATAATCTTATCGTCTCCATCTATGGGTTCCATGAAGATTGGGCACGGAATTACCCAGCTTGTAAATTCCGAGGCTACTGCTTTTTGGCATCATGTGCTTTACTTTGCAGTGCCTATTTCATTCAGGCCATCAGTCGGCTTTTGTTCACTTCATTTTTCAAACACAAAAAACTCCTTACTTTTCAGTTTCACTGGTATTTAATTGCTCTGAATTGGATCTTCGGTCTTCTACTTGCTGCAATACCATTTTTCATCAAGGACGGTTTTGTCTTCGACAGCGAATCACGTCTTTGCATCGCGACTACAAAAAGTTTTTCATCATCTATGCCTGTTATTTCCGTTGGTTTTATTGTGCCACTTAGTTTATCCGCTCTGATTTATAGTAAGATTTGGTATTCCGCCCTGAAATCATCTCAACGAATCGTGGCAACCGCTTCACACAGTAGAGGTTTAGATATATTGAATGCGAGACGTGAAATAAAACTGGCACGATATATGCTAATGTTAGTGGGCTTTTTCGCTTGCAGTGGTATGCCATACTTCATTTTTGTTGTCTGGCATCGCATCGTACCCGACAATTCACCACCATATTCACTTTATATGCTGGTTTATAATGTCGCATCGCTTTTTATAGCTCTGTTGGTAATCGTATTCTTCGTCATGAACAAGCAGATTAAGAATATTGCTCTGGTTTATCTTAACTACAAACGTGGACGCATTCAACCACAACTCAATTAACCGTCTACGGCACCGACTATCACAAAATAGCAAAGACATCAAAGTCGAAAAGATATTCTTGTCACCCATAGCTATGGAATTCTCTGTGTGACACATTGCTTTGCTTCGAATCCATCGGCACATTCTGGTTGTTTGAAATCATTCTGTTACATATTCTTTTTCATTATCATGTTTTTCATTCTCTTTCTTCTCTGTTCTTGTGCGTATATATGTTCTCTTTTCTTTCTATCGTCTAGCCTATCTGTTTGTCGTCCTTTATTGGCTTACATATTAGTTGAAAAGATAGAATTTTTTCTCTTAAAGTAAAGGGAAGCATCTACTTGGTTTTTTCCTTCATATCTCACCTTTATTCATCTAAAAAAGAGGACTTTTTGGAAAAAAAAGTTCAGTTCTCATTTTGATTCTAAAAATAAAACGTAACTTAACTTATTCTTAGTGCATCTGTAGCTAAATTGTTACCTATTTCTCCGAAAATGCTTTATCACCCTAAATCGGTACTAAACAGATAACATTGGCAAAAAGAAGAACTACATTCGAGAGGAGCAAAGCGGATTTTAATATACACTGGAATCTATTACGATCTGTTCTTTTTTTAATCGAGTTTACTAATAGTTAGAAGTTAAATATCTTCCGAGCACATATAATAAATGAAAGCAAAGTAGATTTTTATTCAATAAAAAATGTCAATATCGAGGTTTTTCTTTATAAAATTGGTTTTTTTCGATTTCTTTCTTTCTGCAGTTCTATTAATGCAATGAAATGTCATCTATACTGATTTTGCTTCTTTTAAAAATATAGGTGAAGAAAAAAATAATCAATTGTGTATATGTTTTACCCATTTTTGCGCTACGCAATTATGAAGCCAATCAAACAAGTAACGCTGCTCGTGGCCACAATTCGCTTGATTCTCAACAGATTTCAGTATACTAATCGTTTGTTGTCGTTTCCTCGGTTCTGCTATAAGAATTGTCACTGAATACACGCATATACACAAGTTCATTTGAAATGTTGTCAACGACTCCTAATTTTTAAAAAGACCCGGCTTTTCTAATTTTTGGTGTTTTCTAAAAGAAACCATAGCACATAGCTCGAAATCAGTCGTGAAAATCGAGTTAAACTCATGCTCCAATCTCTGCATGGCAGAATCCGACGAGTTTTGCATTTATCTAGAACAATTTGTGTTTCGAGATAAGACATGTGCCGAATGCAAATAGTTTGAACCCGATAAAATCAGGGTGTGAGTGTGCGTGTGCGTGTTGATGTTCTTTTCATCCATACACTACCCCACACCCACACCCACACACCCACTTGAAGATATTTGCAATGTAAATGAAGAAGATCGATAGTGCTACTCATTGCCTCTTTGTTTTTTAAGCATAGAATGATTCCCCATATATCTACCATACCACTCTTGTACATTGCAGACGCGTATCATGAATACGAAATTGTAACGTGCGAATAATTTTGAAGAAAAAATTTTAACGAATTCTGTGCAACAATGTGGGTGGGTGTGGGTGTGAATGAGTTATTCACACAGGCTGGTACGCACCACTCAGAAACACACATACCCATGATTTGATTTGATTTGATTCTTTGTAGGAAATAAATGCATACAGAATAGGTAGATCCGAATGAGATAGAAAAAAGCTGAAAGGGATCATTTTCTTAAGGCTTTTTTGTTTTATGTTATGACCATTTTACTCGTTCTGCATGGTACATCGGAAAGTATTAGATTTCGTACATTCAATCAGAAATTTTGACCGTAGATACGTCTTTTCATCATTAGAATGTCTCAAAACAAAACATTGGCTCTAATACATGTGCTCTTCTAGAGGATTATGTTATTTGTAAATTTAATGATCTCGAGAAGGACGCATACGTTTGAGATGAAATTTTTAGGACATTGCAGTAATGATAAGGTCTATCTACAGACAAAAAAATCAGATCAAACGCAAGATATTCAATTCTTTCCGAAATACTATACAGAATCGTCAAATATCAAGAAGAAAACTAGATGAATACCCCTTTTTAGCTTTGCCACATCTCAGTGGACTCGCTTTATAGTTACGGAGGGTCTCAATTCGATGTATATATGTTTTATATTTGAGCATTTTATATCAAGAAACCACATGAACAATTTCATTGATAATTTATCCATAATTCCTATAGGACACCCTGCAGCATAATTAGTGGCAAGAACAGAGAACCTTTTAACGGATTGATAAAGCTTGGCACTCATACTAGCATTAACTATACATAATTACGCCAAGCAAACGTGTTTCTTCAACGATCAATATTGCATCTTTCGAGAAGCTTTTATTTAAGTATTCTTCTTGTCTTCCAAGAATGAGTACCATAGGAAGAGATGTTAATGATTTAACGCTTATAGTAGCATTAAAAATTGAACTCAATCTATAAAAATGCTGTATACTGTTTTCTGACTTCGGCTTTTAAGACACACTGTGTATATTTAGAGCGGAAAGAATTCTATAGTAGTTAAGATTAGAAAAACATAAGATTGACACGTTGAAATCTTTTCCATTTATGGATATGAACCAATTCGAAAGACTATATTTAAACTTGTTGGTTGTGAATAATGTTTGGGTACGATGGCGACACTATAATTCGATTGCTATCTGGAACAATTAGAGTTATTGCAATCATTAACTACGATTTCTATCTAAAAAGACAATAATCTAGATTTCGCTCCACATATTCAAATCCAAAGCTGATAATTTAGATTTTAATTTATCGTTAAAATTAAATAAATATGTTAGACGTTGTTAAAAGAGTTTTGGGACAGATCTTGATTAATGAATATTCACTTGAATTTAGTTTTTTTAACTAAGCAAATTAAGTTAAAAGAGATTTTATTGATAAATGGATGAAAAAATGAGATTAGCGTCATTGATGAATATATAAAAATATTTTCTGTGACTTCAATCATCTTCATCTTCGGTAGGCTGAGGTATAAGTTCAAGTGGATGTTCATGCCCTTTCTTTTCACATGCGCACATATATCATAATTATCACATGTAGGACAACGATATCTTTGACCAATAATAGGACTAATGCTACATCCACTGCATGAGACATCTTCCCATTCAAACTCATCAGCCTTAGGAGGAGCCAATGTTTCTCCTTGTGTCCATGTTTTCAAAGCTTCTACTCCTTTACGTGAAACATCATTAACACCACGACGTGATAAAACTTTTCCATCGGATGAAACAATGAATAATCTTGGAATATCTTCAGAGAAAAGAACAATAATTATTATGCAATATTAACAAATAAAATAAACACTTACAAGAAGATTGAAAATATGTGTCGAGAAGATGACATGAATTGAGTGGAATAGCAGGCCAAGGCATTTCTGAACGATATTCATTGAATGATTGATCATTGAAATCAGATGACACAAAAACTATACGAAAAGATAGAGAATTTGCTTGTGCTTCTTTATAAATTTCTACTAATTTTGGTGTAAAATCACGACATGGTCCACACCAATGAGCAGAAAAATAAAATCCAACACTTTTAACACCATTTTCCCATATTGTTTTTGTTTCAATGTTTTCTTCACTATTAGGATTAAGTAAATGAGGAACTAATCTGAAAAGTTGTTCAAATGAATATTGTCGTTTAGGTACTAAATATTCAACGAGAGGATGTTCATGTTTAGTTTTTGTTAGACATGTTTCACATAAATCTACATAACACTTTTGATCTGTATAACCATGTCGTAAACCAATGATTGGACTCATATAACATTGATGACAAATAAACCCATCCCAAACACATTCACTTTCACGTGCTTCACGTGACCAAAATAAACGTTTTCCTTTACACCAGTGATGCACAGCTCCATGATATGCATCGCGTACTAAATCGACATCATTCCAAGAATTTATCTCACATGTAGGAGAAAGCGTAACTAAAGCTGGAATATCTTTAACATTAAATTTTTCTCGCAATGTTTTTGAACGATCTCGATCTAAATAAATATAATCTTATCGAAACCTTTTGTTTGATTTACAATGTTCTTTATAATGTGAATTTCACTTATTGTTTGGTACAATCAATTTTTCTTGCAGAATACATCATTAAAATTTGAAAAAAAAACAAGTTTTCTATTTAAACTCTAAGCTTCACTGGACACACTGGACATTGTTCTTTAAATATTCACTCAAGATCTCTTCTCATGATTTGAATTGAAAAGAGACATTGAAAACATACCAGAGAACGGTAATGCTTTCCATGGCATTTCTTTGAAATATTCATCAAAAGCGGCTTGATCTTCGTCACTTGAAATAAAAACAATATCTAATTTCTCTTCCATTTCACTATTATATCCTTTAAAAAATGCAGCTAATTTTGGTGTAAAGTTTTGACATACAGGACACGAGTAAGCTCTAGCAAAAAAGAATCAAGATATGTTTCTTTCAATAGTTTTATAATGAACAAGCGAGAAATAAAGACCGACACTTTTCCCATTAAGTTCATTAGTTGATATTTGATTTGATTCACTGTTAGATTCGTTGTGTTCAATGAGTTTTTCACCTAACAACTCATTAAAAGTTGTTGCCATGGTCGTAAAATAAATTTGTAATGTAAATACAATAGTCAGTTGCTAGACGGTTGTGAAATTCAACATGGAATATGCTATGATTCATTCTTTTTGTATTGTCTATAGAGTTATTTACTTATTCTTTTTGCTTTCTGTCATAAAGCGGCACAGAAAAAACAATGATTCATACTATTGATAGCAGATTTGAAAGTTACTAATGCACTAAGAGTATAGATATCGTGCAATCAATTTTATCGGATGAAATTTTTATCAAAAGATTTCAATATTGATTTTCATCTGAATGTCCTATGTCGAGTTGCCACCAAATTTGGCACAGCCATTTCTAAAGTAAATTACTTTTCGAGATTAGTACTCTCTATATTTTTTTCTTTTATTGGCTTTCGCAACTGTCATTCTCCTTTTAAAGTAATTTCAATTATTTCAATTAAAGAAATCGTCTTACGCAGTCACGCTCATATTTATTCTTTTAATGTAAAATAAATTAGAATCTTTTCAATTAATTCATTGCAACAGATTTTCAGATAGCTGTCGATAGTATCCTTCTGACAATATTCCATAAAGCAAATTCTCTTTAGAAATAGAATACTACCATATCAAGAAAAAGAAATTGTTGTAAGATCACATATATTAATTTTAACTTTCGTCTGAATGAATAGCTGATTACTTTTAAACTAATGCAATTTTGCGATGCTAACTCTAATAATAATAAGTCAGAATATTCATTCAAAAATAAATAACAGAATGAAATCTGACTCTTGATCGAAAGTGTTTAGAAGTATACGATTTTATATAGGATCAACTTTTGTAAAACATAAGATTTCCTTTGAAACAGAAAAAATATTGGATTTTTTACATATTGATGCTAATAAAATTTTCGATATGAATGGCTCTGCCGCTTGATATTTTTTTTCTCCAAAAATGATAGCCAGAATAGTGTCGAGCTGATAGGCATTAAAACAAGGTCACTATTTACTTGTACGTATAAAAAAACAGTTTTTTTAAACGCAACTATTCAGACCAACGTTAAAAGTGTCTCTAAGCAAATGTTAGCAAATTGAAAAAACGCCTATTCATAACTTCTAATCAAACAAAGTAAATACACAGAGTTATTGGATATGTATAAATTTGGTACAACGAAAAAATGCTGAAAACGGATATATCGAAAATGATACTAATGTCATTCAAACACACACACACTATTGATGTATAAGTGCTCGATACAAATATTACTGGAAATTATTCACACAGTGTTGATGAAAGGGTGTGCTAAAGATGTATTAATAGCACTTCTAATATTTTTTCTTCCGACGTTTTTTTTCTACCCGATGCATTTGATTCATTAATTATGATTTCACAGTTATATCTAATCCGTAGGGACAAGACACAACTATCGTTTGATTATATACATTTTCAAAAACGCAATTATATGAGATATCAGCTACAATTTACTGAGTATTGCATTGATCGTGTTGTATTGCCCTCAGATTTTACTGTTCTTTGTGAATATTGACGTTGTTGAACAGTTTTTCAATATGATAATCGCAGTTAATATTAACTATTTGACATAAAATATATGAGAAAGTTATAAATGTGAATTCCTGTTTAAATTATGTATTTACAAGTTTCGTATTAAAGTAAACTTTACATTCCAATATACAATAATTTCTCGAAATTTTGAATATTTTATCTCTAATATTTTAGTTTTAATCATATCTAGAAGAAATCGTATATTTGTGTTAGTAAGAAAATTTCTAAACTGAATATTCAGCTATTTATTATTAGATACTCACATATAGATAGCCAAAAAATTATCCAGGCACGTATTTATTGTTGTTCATATTTCTCAATTTGCGCCATTAGAAGAAAGCATAAACAAAATATTGACTTTCATCAGTGCGCAGCTGGGACATGTTTCCACCCTTCCTGTTGATACTATCATTACGAATTATATAAATGACAATGTCATTTGAAAAATTAGGTCTTACATTTACCGTATTCTATTATTCTTGTGAAATGTTAACCATTGAAGTTTTTCGCATCAATGTGTGCTGTTTGCGCAAAAAATAAGCAACCGTCTATGTGACAAAGAAAAAGGCCCGGTTAATTCGAGAGACACTCTTTTGCCGTCTAAACCATATTTAACATCATAGTGTTTAAACGATGATGCATTGTCCAAAATACTCGTTTATCACAAAAAAAGATTTTAAGTCTGATAAATAAGAAATGCGTTCTTATCGTTTAAAGGCTGAAATTATAATTGTGCTAAATAGCGAAATACTCAGGGTTAAAACCATGATGTTTCATAATTTGATCGGTAGCAAAAGACTCTGCCTAAAAAAGGTACAATTCAATATTTGACAATCATCACTGTTCATATCATTACGACATGAGTACCTTCCATTTTGTCTTTGCAAAGAAGAATTTTTTAATTTCGAACAGGTGGAAAATATTTATCTAAATAAATGAATTCGTGCATTTTTGAAAGATAAAATGAAGAAAAATACTTTGTACAATTACTAAGGTTTTTATTTTCAAAGAAGTTCGAAAACTTGTACAAAATTCTTCTATTCATAAGTTTTGGTTTAAAAATGCACGAATTTTCATTTATTTAGATAAATACTTCGACTTGTTCGAAGTTAAAAATTTCTGTGTTTCCAAAACAAAATGAAAACTATTCATTGATTCGAAGATATATCGACAAAAATTGACTGCGCGCTCACTTCTAACACAATTATTGTTTGTTTTTTGCTATTTTAAATCCTCTTCATGGATAATTTAAATTTTATCGATTGCTTAGAGATAATGTCTTTCTCTCGTATTTGATAAATATTCTATCGAAATCTTCTCAAATTTTCTTTACTAACTCTAAAATCTTGGTAAATCCATATACCTATGTTGTGAAATATAAAGATAGTCATAAGATTGTGATCTATAATAATGACGGTTAATAATGGAGAAAGGAAACTCTAAGTTAATATCTAGACATTCAATATGAACGTAGTAATTAAAGTTTGATTTGTAAAAGGAATTAATGCATTAGTGCGAAAAACAAAAACGCTAGACGAAAAAACGTCAATGCTTCTATCCATTTTTTCAAATTAAGATATGACACTTGTACACTCTTGATCAAGTTTTAAAGTATATTCATTGATAGGGCTATTGTGTTCTCATTCTTCAGCTATCCCCTAGCCTAGATAAACAAAATATATAATTGCAAAAACTTGTTAGGGTGTGAGTGTGGATGTTAATGTTCTTTTCACCAAAACCCACACCCTGCTGTACGTCGGAGGGAAGTGACTTGGTTCGTGCATATTATTGCCTTCTAGGTTTTTCCAATATATAGGTGATTTGGGACCCGTTACGCAATCCAATGAATGCCTATCACATCTGACTGGGGGTTTTGGAGCGCCGATTATCCTGCGCGTGTTCGAGACGTTTGTGACATTGCAGACGAAAGGAATCATGTACTATTTAGAGAAGTGAACTGAATGATAAACAAGTGTAGAGTATCATGCCATTTGATCGACCCCTTCGCCCTGATTAATGAATTCAAAACTATGAGCACATGCATCGTCCATTCGGACAGACCAGTAGATCGGGAATGTCAAATGACTGCAATTGACGGACGTTCCTGACACTCATGGACAACAGAAAAAATGACAAAATCTTTGGATTTGACATCGCGAGCTTACGACTTGTAGGCAATTCTGAAAACACGGCCTGCTACCTTGACACGATTCACGGTATGCATATCCATATAAAAGATACATATTTTCTGCGTTGATGAAATGAGAAAAGCAAGCGATACTCACTTTCTCATCCGTTTCCTTCATTCGACCAAGACACTGGTGCTTTCTTCGGCTTTGGACGCAATTCTATATGTTCCATACCTGTAAGAGCCTTGTTGCTGAAGATCTCAATATTTGATTTTAAATTGGTGGGTAGGTCAAAGACCGCCCCTGATGGCAGTAATTTGTCCAGGTTTCTGTGTCATCCTCATTCATCAAATGTGTAATCTTGCAATGGCTGAACCACTCTATCGCTATTTGGATTAGCAGGATCGGAGCCAAACATTGCTGTAGTTCATACAGATAGATATGTCTGAACAATGTGGCTGCTAAGAGCCAAAAGAAAGGCAAGTACAACGAGTGTTTTTACTAGTTGTTGCAGCACGGTCGTCTTTTTCTTGATGGAAATGAAGTTTGTGATTTCAAAAAAGACTATTAATGCATGCTCTAAAATCGAATTTATCTTTACGCTATACAATAATAAACAGTAGCCCCAAGCTCTGAAAAATATGTATATGCTTTCTTCATTTGCATTGATGTGTTTTACACCTGTCTTGATCATTTTCTCTCAGGATTTTGCTCTTCATCGTGGTAAATAAGTACTCGAAATATGTTTGCCTATTGAGTTTTACACACAACCAATATCACTCGACGATTTTCCATTTTATTTCACGACTGTTTATGAACGTAATTAGACCTACAAATACTAGGGCTTTGCTAAGGTGCAGGAGCATTGATTTCGCACACATATCCGCACCTGATCGATTATTTCAAAGAAGCGACTTTTACGAGTTTGTCATATGATGGATCCTGAAAATATCATGTCACTCACACTCTCTGATGGGGTGTGGGTCAACTGAAGACTTAAACCTTCACCCACATTCACATCGTTTTCGATGAATACCTAACAATTTGTTGAAATTTCAGTAAAATGATTAAACGCCGGCTCTAGAAACTCATGAGTACGAACTCTTTGAATATCTCTCTACTCTTATCGAGATATCCTTGTGTGCTACATATGAGCTTAAATGACGGCTATCAGTTCCAGTGGCTCCTTCAATACTAACAATATCATATCATCATCAATGGTTCCCGAATAGGGTTTAACAGTTTTGAGCATTAGAAAAATGTAATAACATTTTGTGGCTTTTTTAATTGATTTTAATCAAAGATACTGAACCATTGGCATCGAATATAAACAATCATATGCTTTAGACCGAACAAATTCGAGAATATTTTTCATAAAAGAACTATCACTTCTTCAAAGAGGCGTCATACAGTTTCTAAGATGACCAGTTCAATTTGATTTTGTTATTCCCTGTAAGTTTTGTATTTAGTTTGAAAGTGAGTTCAGTTTATTCAATAACATTAACCACGTATATGTTGAGAAGGACAGATCAAGTAAAACAAGAACAAGACGAAGAGAGAACAAAAAAGAAACATATATATATAAACAAAGACATGAAACGACTTTGTTCTTAAGAAAATGTTCACATGGAATGCATCAACACATATCGAACGAAGCCTTACCAGTTCTTAGTAATAAGACACAACATAAGTTCGATAACCAGTAAAGATACAATAAATCCTGTCCATCCAACAATGAGCATTACTTTACCATGTACATAGTCATCTTGCTCCCATATTAATAGTTTGTCATTGTGTCGACTATAAAAACATGTGTAGATGTTGCCAACCTAAGTAAAACGAAAAAATGAGGTAATTTCCAGACATTTTACGTTGAAGATGATGGGAAGTGTAAGAAATAGTTTTGTTCGTTAACCTCCGAAAACATTGAACGGTTTTCATTCGGAGTTCTAGACTTTTCATAAGCTAAGATATATATATATATATTGTCCTTATCTCACTAAATTAGAGCAGACGTACAGCTCAATTAAGAGTAATAGCAAACTTGAGTTTATCAAAGCGTGTTAAAATTACATAGGTATATCAATAGCTTTCCGATTGAGATAGTTGTCTCTCAACAGATATCTTCAAGTGATATTATCAAATTATACATTTCCATTCATCGAGATATTGTCACAACTATTTTCTTGCATAGAAATCATAGTAGAATCTTCATGACTAAGAGGTAGTATTTCGTTCACACTTGTATCAGAAGAAAGAAATTCAGAATGGAATAGTACTCAGAAAAGCAAAACAAACTCATCTTGATAGTTACACACTTGAATGTCATTGCCTATCACTCACTAGAAATACAGTATCTAATAAAACACTATTGTCAATGATTGCTGAAGAAGATATGAAAAAAATTGAATCCTCAGTTTTTTATGTCCTACCATTGTAAGAACAGAAAAGACTTCGCGAAATCCTGTCGAAAATAAAATGTAAAACACGAAGGAACCAGTTTAATCCCTAAAGAGACATTTTATCACATTTATCAAGGTCTTTGATGGTGCTATAATGGAAGCATTTCGAAATGTTCATCACTATTCGTCTGCGACAGCAAAATGCCTTTTACCAATATATCTGTTACAGTCTGCGAAAAAACTAGAAATTAGATTTTCACTTTTCACGATTTATACTTAAGCACTCATCAAAAGTCGTGTTTCTCACAAAACTAACAATAGATATGACTACGCGAGTTATTACTATATGAGTATACTTTCATTCTATCTCATCTAAATAAAGTCTTAATGTAACCAAATAAGAGAATTTGAACTTTCGATTTTCTGTAGATTGACCAAATGATTCTTGAAAATAAAGTCAAAAACACATATTTCTTTTCGNCAATATAGGTATATTTTTTAGTTATGGTAATGGAACTTTCGAAAATCAAACGACACTATTCACTAGCTTCTCTTCTCAGCCACAGTCAGTCGCTATTGGTGATTTCAACAATGACAATCTATTAGACATTGCCGTAGCTAATCGTAAGAGTCACAATATTGGCATATTTTTTGGATACGGTAATAAAACGTTTACATCACAAATGACAATATCCACTGGATCTTCTAGTCCACAGTCAGTTGGTGTTGGTGATTTTAACAATGATTCACGACTTGATGTCGTTGTCGCTCTTTCCACTAGTATAAAAGTTTATGTTCTTTTTGGACATGGAAATGGAAGTTTTACATCTTCCGTGATATATTTCCTTGATACTAATGCTGGTCCTCGAGCGATCGTCGTTGATAATTTCAACAATGATATGAAGCCGGATATTGCCGTAGCGAATTATCGATCACATAGTGTAAACATACTTTTTGGATACAACAATGGAAGTTATGCAAGTCCAACGACATATTCGACAGGCTTTAACACTTCGCCGTACTCCTTAGCTATTGGTGATTTCGACAATGATTCTCGACTGGATTTTGCCGTCGCTAATGAACGTGCTAATAGCATGACAGTATTTTTGAGATCTTGTTAAAATTGTTATTCACAATATAAAGTTCTTTTTTATCCTACATAATTATTCCTTAATCTATTAGTATTTTATTACATTTACTTCGGAGTGTGGGTGCCACTGTTCGTTTGCAGGAAGAGAGAATTCACACCCACACGCTTACCCTCCGTCGTATTCGATAGGTATTCTCCAACACATGTTATTATATTGTTTATCAGATTGTCAGAGTTTGTGTGCAAAAGAAATATGTGCTGCTGATCTTGTTCTACCAACAATGTGAAGTACTGTTAGTCATTCTATGAAAACATTTCTTCGCGGAATAAAAAAATTGTAATACTCTGTTCTTCATGAGATCTTTTTTTTAAATTGGGAAACCAAACTTCAAGTGTTAATCAATGACGTGAGTATTACTTGAAACATCTTCTTTTGAGATAATCAATCGTCAGGAACCAAATGATAATACTATTCTACATGTCGTGGTCGAATGCAATTAATCGAAACGGTTGCACGGCTTGGAAGATTTTCTCGATGTAAGAGAATATCACATCGATAACATTTACTGTCACTATCCTAATATATTTACTGCATTGTTTGATTGTCTTCCTTTTGGTCAATCAGATGATCCTATGCGAGAACAACAAGAGGATTCTTTACTAGCAATTGTTAACGAATATATTGGTTCATCGCATCAAAATTACAATAAGGCACGAGAACTAGTAACTCAGTTCGCTAAAAGTGGAAAACTTGATTCACTCATTCATTTATTTACGTTGAAAACACCGTTCTACACTTATATCAATCAAGGAAAAGAATTGAGCGAAGCGGCTTGCTTCACCAATTTTTCATACTCTACGTTATCTACGTCGTCATGCTTCTGAATATTTTTTTTTGGTAACGTATACGTTTTGTTCAAGCACGAGAAAATAATGAACGACGGCAAGTATTAATGGTTTTCAATTTTGCTCAAACATGTTTTACAGTTATTCAGCTGGAGAAGTTGTCTAATCCATTGCCTCCCATTTCAGAGTTTCCAGATGAACAAGAAGTAATCATCCAATCGAGAACAATTTTCACTGTGGAACTTATTGAGAATGATTCATCATTAACAATCGTGTATCTGAAACATTTCAATCTTGACAATGAAGTGAATGAATATCAATATGTTAAAATGAATACGTTTTTTGGTTGATCGATTCGGCTACCATTTCTTCATATGAATAATAAATAGTTTTTAAATTAACAATCATAAAATTCTAAGAATGATTGAATCTGCACCTTTTCTTCAAGCAAAAGTGACGTAACAACGTGAGAATTCATCTGTAACATTAGCTTTATCGCGACAGATAATCTTGTTGAGACGAATACAAATTCACCCGATTCGAACTCAAATAACACTAAGTCAGTTTTACTACATCCGACACCGGCACAATTAGACTCTTACGTAGTTCTAAGTTGTATTAAAGCTCAACGAGGAAATAATTTCGTTTGCAAACAGTGAGAAATCCCTGTTGTGTGTGTCTTAGGCTTGATGAAAAAATGATTGTTGATCACTCATTCTTGGTCATCTGATTATTCAATCAACAAAAAATCTTTACTAAAGTCGAAATACTAGTGAAGGAAGAAAGCTGAAGCATTAGAAATTGAACAAACTATTTGTTTTTATTTTTGATCGGAATGTTTAATCATTTGCATTTCTTTTACAAATGCTTTGTGCGCTTTATCGAAACCGAGTTTCATAAAAATCAATGTACGAGTCATCACTAAACAATAATCGTAACCATCTCCAGTTGGATCATATTTTTCTTCAACTTTAATAGGTATAATTTTCTTTTTTCGTTTCCACGCATATTTTGCTTCTAATTGATATGCATTCGATCCTTTATATTTCATTGACATATAATATGAGAACAATATAGGAACGTTCAGTTGCTTCAGCCATCAATTCAAGAACAGATCCATACATACTTTCTTTGTCAATCCATACACGAAATTGATCATACATTTTATGGCATATCTTAGCGTTTTGAGTGACAATAACTAATTATTATAACTATAATCAACTCGAATATATACATAGATCATTTCATTTTCTGTTGCGTTTTTTTGGTTTTTGGTAATACTGATAGCGAAGAAGGTGGAATTGAAGTTTACCTTCTGTTTCTTTATTTTGTTCTTGAATTTTTTCTCAATAAATATTTGCTCATTCTCAAGATTCCACATAGTACTATTCGCTATTCTTTCCTTAGAACGCATCTATAAAGGATGTTTGGAAAATCCCTGAGCTGACAGAACATATAATTCTCTATCGATTGATCTATTTTGTTTTCATTTTAGTATAGATTTCTTGGCTAGGAAATGTGAAATACTGGAGAGCATATACATCTATTTGTGTGTGGAAAAAATTATTTTAATTATGAAAAATCTATTTCAAAATAGAATGCATTTCATTGTTTTATAATTCAATCGATAATACAAATAATTTCAATTAAATAAATATATTTTTTATAGAAAAAAGCAGTTAATATTGCATTATTAACAATGATGAAAATAGAACCAACTGAAATTTCAGATGCTGTCAATCCATACCTGTACCATTACGTGATAGATTAATGAAATATGTTTATAAAGATATTTTAAAAATCCAAAAGATTATTCAAGTAATTCTTTATTACTGTGACATGAAAAAATATTTTAGTATATTCCGAAAAGCAAAAAGTTTTTCATTTATTTTATTACAAGTTCCTGTAGTTACTGGTTTCGGTTCGATTGTGCGTGTTTTTACTGATCGATGAGCTTTGTAAACTGTTCTAATAATTTATGAATGACATTCCAATAGTGATAAATCGTTTTTTCTGTTTCATTGTTATCTTTGTTTTTTACGAATCAGCTATATTTGACTACCATGATCATCTTGATGTGCATATGAAGAAGGTTTTTTTCTAGGTAAAATTTGTTGTTGAGTTCTTTTTATAGATGACTAAAATGGAAAATAATATTAATCATTTAGTTGATAATCTATCGGCAAAAGAGGATCGTACGAATCAAGAAATATGTGATCATCAATTAGAAAAACTTCATACACTTCTATGTTATCGTACGACATGCCGAAGGAATTTCAGATTTTATGCTGATCGTCTTAGACGTTTAATTGTTAAAGCTGTATTAGATCAATTACTATAGGTATTATATGATGTTATAACCCAAGTGGATATTGTTTTCAAAGTTTAAGACATGAAAAAAAAGGCATTCGTGAATGCTGCAAGTAAAAGGATAAGACGAATTGAGTCAACAATTGATGGTCTTGTTGTCAAGTTATTGAGGATTTATTAATAGATGAAAATAAGAGTAAAGAAATTCTGAAATTTTCTTCCCAAGGCGTAAAATATTTCAAGAAACGCACTGCGTAACTCGTTTCCAAGGTTGGGACAGGCGTTTCACAGTATTTTTACTTATATAGAACGCGTTTTGCTGCCTTGACATTTCGAAACGATACGAAACGCTGTTAAACTCATTTTGGTCGATAAGAAAAGCATTGTACAGAGTCACAATTCGAAGAAAACGCGAAATAGGTTTTCTTTAAATGTATTTTGCATCGTTTACGTTTTGAATGGTGCAAAATTGGTCTCTTTTGTTACAGCATCTCGCATCAATTCATCTTCAAAAAGCATGTGAGTTAAGAAAAGTCAATTCTGACATGATTTTGAAAATTATACGAAATAGTTTTACAAAAAGTTTCCTGATCGTATTGTTTTTGATCCTCAAGATGGCAGTGCAGGTCTTCCTTAGTCAAGATTAGAATTAAGTTTTTCTAAAACTTAACCGAGTACGTTGTTTTCTCAAGCTGACTTAATGTCAGACTAGTATTGAATATCATAGTGCAACTATAGTATATCTCTTGTTAGAAAACTCATTTCACTTAATTTTCATTCAAAGAAAACGCGCTTCGTAGCGTTGAATCAAGAATTGTGTTAACTATAGAAAAATTTGAAAAAAAATTTAGTAAAGACTGAGGAAAAAATAAAGCGTAGGACAGCTTAGCGTTGTTATGTGAAAAAAGTATTTTCGCGTAAGTTACGATTTATGATAATAATTATTATGAAGTTATGTATGGACTGCCTTATATACTCTCCCAAACACGAATAGAATATAACTTTCGTTCGTGCGCTATCGATGTAAGTAAGTGTGGCTGGTTGATAAAACAGATTCAAATTGCAGAAAGAATATTCTTTTAGTTATGAATGTATTTGGATTTAGTGATAACGAATTTACGTGTATAATAAAATTATTAAATAAAACACAAATTTTGCTAAGTTTGCAAATTTAAGATTTAATTTTTTTGAATTTAACTTTACGAAATTTAATCTTTATAAAATTTTTTATCCAATTTATATGGAATCAAATTCATTTTAATTGGGTATTTAAACTTCAAAAAGATAAAATTTTGCAAACTTAAATTTCTAAAAGTTAAATTTAAAATAAATTCACGAAAAAATGACACTCTTATTTCGATAGAAGCAGTAAAAAGAATATGATTTTTAATCATTTATTCAGACGTGAAACAAAATTTATTCAGTTCATGAATTTGTACGAGACATCTAAATAAGAATAGAATAAACACTTATATGATTGGACTATTTGAGTTGAACAGTTTGTGCGCATATTTTCTATTCTTGAGATCAAGTATTCGAGTCTACCTCTTAAATTTATCAAAACTAATGTAAATTATTTCTATAATTGTATGAATTAATGTAAACGAGTATATGGATCGCATCTGCAAGTTGAGTTCTACGGAATATTTGGTGCTTTTGTTTTTTTGTAGACTCCAAAGTGTGGGATACCACAGTTTCAGAAACACTGCGAAATACTTTTAATAAGCAATTGTTCCGCAGCGTTTATTTTAGCAGGTGTGGAGCGCGTTAAACCGGCCAGTATTAACGAGTTTCGCAGCTATGGAAAAACGCGTTTTTTTCGCAGAAATTTACGCCATGGATTTCTTTGAAAAAAACAAAGAAAAGATCAGGATGCAAAATTAACTTGAATAATATCTTTAGTGTAATTCGAATTGTCTTCTATTGTAGCTTGTGTGAGGAAAGTTGATATGGATGTGGGTGTAAATATTTCGCTACTCCTCATCTATACCCATATCCTAGCCACACCCACACCTTTGAAGAGTATGTATAAATTTTATTTTAAGAATAAAAACTTCCAACTTCTCTCTCTCAGATAAATAAAAAGTAATGAATTAAGCTCCGTCGATTGTGAAACTATATGTATTGAGAAAGTAATCATGGTTTTTGAGACACACTGTATATATTTGAAGCGGAAAGAATTCTATAGTAAGTAAGATTAGAAAAATATTAGATTGACATGATGGACCCTTTTTCATTTGAAAATGTAAACCAATTCAAAAGACTTTATTTAGATTTGTTGGTCATGTATAAGGCTTTTTGTATGTTTGTGAGAATGTAATTTGATTGTTGTCTAAAACAATTAGAATTATTGCAATCATTAACTACGATATCTATTCAAAAAAGATAATAAAAATCCAAACTTAGTTCTACACATTCAAACTCAAAGCTAGATGTTTAGATTATAATTTATCGTTAAAGTTAAATAGTTGTTTAGATCTTGCTAAAAGATTTTCGAACAGATCTTAATTAATAAATAATTACTTGAACTTAGTTTTCTTATCGATATGGATCAAGTTTAAAAGCTATTTTATTGAGAAATGAATGATAAAATGAAATCAGTTTCATTATTGAAAATTGTCATTGATGAATATGTGTATGTCTTTTCTGTGTGACTTTAATCATCTTCATCTTCGATCGATTGTGGTACAAGTTCAAGTCGATGTTCATGCCCTTTCTTTTCACATGCTGAACATAGATCATAATTATCACATGTAGGACAATGATATCTTTGACCAATAATAGGACTGATACTACATTCATTACATGAGATATCGTCCCATTCATACTCATCTGCCGTAGGAGGAGCCACTGTTTCTCCTTTTGTCCATGTTTTCAAAGCTTCTACTCCTTTACGTGAAACATCATCAACACCACGACGTGATAGAAGTTTCCCATCTGATGAAACAATAAACAATCTTGGAATATCTTCAAAGAAAAGAACAATAATTATTATGTAACATTGAGAACTCAAATAAACACTTACAAGTAGATTGAAAATATGTACGAAGAAGATGATCTAATTTAAATGGAACAGCAGGCCAAGGCATTTCTGAACGATATTCATTAAATGATTGCTCATTAAAATCAGATGACACAAAAACTATACGAAAAGGTAGAAAATTTGCTTGTGCTTCTTTATAAACTTCGGCTAATTTTGGTGTAAAAGCACGACAAGGTTCACAGTAATGAGCAGAAAAATAAAATCCAACACTTTTAACACCATTTTCCCATATTGTTTTCGTTTCAATCTTTTCTTCACTATTAGGATTAAGTAAATGAGGAACTAATTTGAAAAGTTGCTCGAATGAATATTGTCGTTTAGGTACTAAATATTCAACAAGAGGATGTTCATGTTTAGTTTTTGATAGACATATTTCACATAAGTCTACATAACAATTTTCATCTATGCAACCATGTCGTGAACCAATCATTGGACTCATATAACATTGATGACAAATAATACCATACCAAACATATGCACCTTCACGTGCTTTCAGTGACAAAAATAAATGTTTTCCTTTACACCATTGACGTGTAGCTCTACCATATGCATCACGTATTAGGCCAACACCATCCCAAGATTCTACCTGACATGTAGAAGTAAGGATAACTAAAGTTGGAATATCTTCAACATTAAACTTTTCACGCAATGTTTTTGAACGATCCCGATCTAAATAAATACAAAGTTATTGAAACCTTCTGCTTGATTTACTATGTTTTTAATAATGTCATTTTCATTTTATTGTTTGGCAGAATCAATTTTTCTTGCACAATATATGATTACAATTTGAAAAAAAAAACAAGATTTGTATTGAAATTATTGTTTAAATATTCACTCAAAGCCTCTTCTCACAATATGAATTGAAGAGAGATATTCAACATACCAGAGAAAGATAATGCTTTCCATGGCATTTCTTTGAAATATTCATCAAAAGCGGCTTGATCGTCGTCACTTGAAATAAAAACAATGTCTAATTGCTCCTCCATTGCACTATTATGTCCTTTAAAAAATATAGATAATTTTGGTGTAAAGTTTCGACATGCACGACACGAATAAGCTCTAGAAGAAAAAAAACCAAGCTATGTTTCTTTCAATAGTTTAATAATAAACAGACGCGAAATAAAGTCCGACATTTTTTCCATTCAGTTCATTAGTTGATATTTGATTTGATTCACTGTTAGATTCGTTATGTTCAAGAAGTTGTTCACCTAACAATTCATTGAAAGTTGTTGTCATGATCGTAAAATAAATTTGTAATGTAAACACAATATTGCCTTCTTCTATAGGAAAGAGAAAAACAGGAGATGCAACCGATTACTAAACGACTGTGAAATATAACATGGAATATGCTATGATTCATTTTTTCCTTATTGTCTATAGACTTGTTCATTCATTCTTCTTTGCTTTTGTCATGAAGCGGCACGCAATAGTTCTTTTTTTTGGAAAGGAAAGATAGATACTAAACAGCGATGATTCATACTACTGACAACAGATTTGAAAGTTACTGATGCACTTGGAGCATAGATAACGTGCAATGGATTTTATCGAATGATTTTTTATCTAATAATTTCCATTTTTATTTTCAGTTCAATATATTATCTCGAGGTATCGGTAAATTTCTCACAGTCATTTCTAAAGTAAATTAGTTTTCAATATTAGCGCCCTATAGATGCTTTTTCTATTATTGATTTTGCCTTGTATCTCCATTTTTAAATTTGAATTATTTCAAGTAAAGAAATTCTTCTTTGCAGTCACCTCTATATTTATTCTGACTTTCTACCTTTTTCATTGTTTCTTATTCTTATAATATTTCGTTTTTTTTTCGTAGTAACCTTTATATGTCATCGCATAAAAATCAGCACATTAGGATTGAATAGTCAATCATGTGTCAAAGTGCAACATGAGGATGTTATCGATTAGTCTAGGTTGATAATCGTGATCACTATTGGAATATTCTTTTTAGTGATATGCCTTGATAAAAAGCCATTTTACCACCATAAAAACATTCTTCACATATTCTCTATATTGTTTTAATGTAAAAGAAATTCGAATCTTTCCAATTTATCCATTGCAACACACTTTTAGATAGCTGTCGATAGTAAAAAAATCTATCTACTATTAATTATAAGAAAGAACATCTTTTAATTCTTCTGACTCTATTCCATAAAGTAAATTCTCTTTGGAAATAGAATGTTACCATATACAGAAAAAGAAAGTATTGCACAACCACATGCATTCATTTTAACTTTCATCAGGATGAATAGTTGAGCACTTTTAAACTAATGCAATGCTGTGAATCAGCTATTTGCTAACTCTAATAATAATAAAAATGAATAAGTAAGAATATTCATACAAGAATAAAGAACAGAATCAAATCGAACCCTCGATCGAAGCTTTTTAGAAGTATACAATTTTATCTAAGATCAACTTTTTTAAAACATAAGGTTTCCTTTGTAGCATACCAATAATATGGGAGTTTTTACTTATTGATGTGAATAAAATTCTTGATATGAATGACTCTGCGAGTTGATATTTTTTTTTCCTAAAGTGATCCTCAGATTTGTGTAGAGGTGAAAGGCACTAAACCAAGGTCATTATTTGTAAGTATAAAAAAACAGCCGTTTTAAACGCAACTATTCAGGGTGTGGGCATTAGCAGAGAACACCCATACCCACACCCTCCTTAGTATAAAAACGGGCTAAATTTAATTTTGAATAGACTGTTGGATAATATACTTTTGTTTCGCAAACATCATCATTAATCGTCCATTCTTATATAAAAAGAACTAATAGGAAACAGAAGATGATGCCAGTCTTTAGTAAGGTTTCAAGAACTTTTTCAGAGGTGTTCATGTTTGACTTTTTCTCTTTTCCAGATAAGACGTGGGTGTGGACGTTGACCTTTGTGTAAACTATAGTCACAGCCACCTGCACCCACACACCCAGACCCTTTGAAGAGTTTTTTGACAAAATATGTTCCAATATTTTAATCGTCGAGTCGATGACTTATCGTTTCTTCTTATCTATTACTCATACAATATACGAGCATGATATCTTCTGTTATTGCACCATCAATCTATAACTTGACACATAAATCGTTCTTATCAGTGAAGTTTGACTTTATTTCAGAAATTAAAATAATTTCTCTGACATAGTCTCATATACGATTTCTTGCTCGCGAACCTCAAGTGACTTTGTGCATCACGTTTATTCTGAATAGTGAAAATTTTGTAACGTGATCTGATATGAAACAAACTAAACGACAACTCAACAGCAGTGCTGGTCGTAGTGACCACAGCAAAAAACGAAAGCTTCTTAAGTTCGTTATATTTCTTGTAATATATCTTTTTTTCTATGTCTGACTTGTTTTTGTTTTTTCAGTTCATCAAACAAATCGATCACCCATTTTGAAGATATGTCGAATGAAGCTATCCTCGAAATATTTGAATATCTCGATTTTTTTCACAGATGCAACGCTTTTCTCTATTTTAATAGACGATTTCAAAATCTTCTTCTTCGTTCGAATCGTACTATTGAAATTGATATTTCATCTGTGTCGAAATTAACATTTGAACGCTATTATCAATATATTTTTCTGGTTGATAATAATCGAATTCAAACATTACGCGTCTCTAATCAATTTACATTCGCTCTTGTTTTATCATCATCAAATATTCTATCGAAATTTTCTCAAATTGAAACACTTATTCTTGACAATATAGAATTATGCTTTCTTCATAATCTTCTCAATCAGAATTAGTGATAGACTTGACTATCACGATACTTTCTATCTTCGTATATTTCAATTACCAGTATTGAAATATTGCAAATTACTATTTGCTGGCATCGGTCCATTAAAGTTCTCCAGACTGATGATTCAAGATTTTGGAAAATAGTAATGAATTTATTTTGCCTATCTTGAGGATGAGAATGAAAGTAAACTTTTTGAGGTGAGGATCAGAACCCTCTTCGGTACGTTCTTGTAGATGTATACATTTTTATTTTCAATTCTGTCTGTAATGAGTGAAAATTAACCGTGAGCCTTCTTAATTTTCTGCTACTAGGATATTTATTAACTTCTAAATCGATCATCTTTCAGTTTAGAAACAAGTGAATCAATATCCGATGAACGTGAATCATTATTACCTATAATAACCAATCAATACAGTTCTATTCAACATCTTGTTATCGAAAATAAGATTGAGATCGAATATCTTTATTGTTTATTGTCATATGCTCCTCAACTTCGCCATTTATCATGTCTATCTCTTGTGAATAGCAAAACTTTAGTAACATTAATGAACATTCAATGCAATAACTTTACATATGCCTCGTTGCACTTTCATATAATAAGTTTCAATCGATTGGAATTGTTGATCAACACTTTGTTTCATAAAGTTTAAGTTTTACATATTTCTGGACATGCCAATTCCGAATATTTCAATGCCAATCGATGGGAACAATTAATATTAAATTACGTACCATATTTTCGCATTTTCAATATGGATTTTACATAGTCATTAAGATACGAATATGAACAGCAGACATTTGATTCGTTGTTCAATCAATTCAATTCTCAGTTTTGATTCGAACGACAATGGTTCTTCGATTATCGACAAACTTCAAACTCGAATATTGGAACTGGCTTCTTCTATTCGATAAATCCATACAGGTAGGAAATGATCAATTTGTTTTGTAGAATGTCTATTTTTTCTTGAAGAGGAAAAATTTTTCGATTAGTCGGAAAAATGAACAATAATATTCGTTCATCTAATCAAAAGAAGAATTTAAATACTGTTCATCATATTTACATTGATGATGAAAAGAAAACAACTAATTGTACATATTATTTTCCAAATGTTACTTTTCTGACATTTTCTGATGGACTTGGTGTAAGAGTACGATCATTCACAAATGCTGTTGAACATATCATCCCTCTACAACAGCTGACTAAAGTCCACATTGCATCTTATGGTTGTACCTGTCAAAAATTGTGCGAACTATTATGTCTTACACCAAGTCTCGATTCATTGATAATCCCATCTGAAATTCTCAGTCAAGCATGTTCTCAATCAATACAATAAAGTGACACTTTTCGATTAGCATCCAACATGAATATGATAAAAAATGTGACTGTTACAGACAGTTGCACATTGAACAAAATTAGAATTCTTCTTAATTTGTGTCCTCGACTATAATATCTGACAACCGGTGTGTTGAGCGATCATTTTCAAGCAACCATTCAATTTTTGTTATCGAAAAGAGACGAAAACGTTTGTCATTTATCTTTAGTTTGTCTTTCAAATGTGATCTTAACAATCTGTGAAAGAATGTGGATGATAACCCGTTCAAAACAAGTAATAGATGATGATATGATCAAATTTCTTGATCAGAAATTATATATATGGTTCTAATATGTTATCTATTCTTCAATGTATGTAATTAAGCCATCATTTACTGAAGACATGTGAAAAGACCAATGTCATCTTGTATTCGAAATAGAAAAGTGATCATAAGTAGAAATTCTTATTTAACTTGAATTTTTCATATGTGACTTGCTTGGTTGTTTGAGAAATTCTATCAAAAATCAATGGTCGTTTCATCGAGTCCAGAAAACTTGTTCTGATCATTTGTACAGAAAACTTTTACTTCATTTTGCCATAATTCCGCGATCTGATTCTTCCAATATTGTAGAAGAAAAGCTCTTAAAATCAAAATGGTTTTTTACAGAAAAAAACTATGAATCAACGGAGTGATTTTAACGACAATAGGAACCTTTGATAACGATAATCTAAAATTATGAATTTTTTCTGATGACTTTTGTCCAATTGTCTTCAAAATACAATTTTACATTTCTGAAAAACCTATGTTACATAGGAGATTATTCAAGAGTTTGAAAACTCGTTACACTTTGTCTATCTTTCTTTCAGTTATTTATGTGATCAAAGTATACTGTGAGTAAAAACTAAGGAAAGTATGAATGTCGCATGTGCGGGATGAATCATAAATATCTATACGATAAAAGAATTTGAATATTTTTACCCTATTTCAATCTATGAGATTAATTTTTTTATTTATGATAGAGGGATGCTCAAAGTTTTTTTTTAATAAGAAAACCATCAATGGATACTTTTTTTTTGAACTGAGTGTGGGTGTGGATATCCTCTTAACCGACACCCACACCCTAAATTATCTAATGTAGTGGTAGTTTCAAAAAACAAATTTCTTAAATCACAG